AAGCAGGTAGTGGGCACAGTATCGAAACGTACAAAGCTGCCTCTAGGGGAGTTTCTGAACTCAATACGTTCTCTCAACTTGTCACTAGGGGGAGGCAGGCGGCTGCAACTCCGTGCCCGTGCGTCAGAACAAGCTATTGATCTGCCGGAAAACCAAAGTGGAGCAACTGGAAGTGCAAGGATTAACAACGCTGTAAACCATCCTATTCACAGGTTAGATGATCTTAGTTTACTGCAGTTAAATCTTGGTTAAACTAAAACAAAGTTTATCTATAACTGGGTGTGTCCATAGAGTAGTTCCCTTCACTGACTTCTACCGATTCACTTAGCACTTTTAGTTGCTAATTAATTTTCCCCAAGTGTGTTGTGTGAGTACCAACAGGCATAGAGGACTCTGCAAACAAAACATTAAAACACTGAATATATATTAAAAAACAAAAACAAAAACAAATCCTGGTTCCAAAACATTTATTTTTTTTTTTCAGTGAGGGGAAGTTGCCTTATCTATACAAATTGATGGTCAAATCTGACTCGGCCAGAATTAACTTAGGATGTTACTAATATTTTCTTGCACAGAAATTTAAGCTCTGAAGGCTTTTGGAAAAGTGTGCAGATCAATTTGCTCAGTAAACACAGCTGATGCTCATACATCTCATTGGATTTTAGGACCATTTACCTCTAGTAACAAAACCAAACATTTTGAGTGACAGGCATAGAAAAAAGAGCAGATAATCTAAAACAGGTGAGCATTCAGCTGTTTGGAAGCTGGTAGGAACAGTGAGGTTTTCAAGATGCAATTGGTTGGGGTATCTCTTCGTAATATTTTCCAAAATTGAGTGACACCTTAGTTGCAAAAACTGTTCATTATGGTTGAACTTATGGCCTCTCTGCCTCACAGTTGTGTATGTAAATGCAACAGATTGTAAGGGGGCCACAGGCAGCTGAATGGAGGTCCTGCATTTCTTGCTCTCCACTGCCTGTTATGGATAAAACATTAAGCAGAGGATCCCTAACACCCTGTACCATATTGTATCTTGGTAAGACAGTGCAAGGTCTTTGTTGAAGCAGGAGTTATGACTATTCTTATTATCGCAGTCCTCATGGTCAGAAAAGAGCTAGCAGCACTTCAGGTTTTAAAGTCTTCCACAATTCCAGTTATGAAGTTGCATGAAAAATCTACCATGGGTTTGTTCTATAAATTTTTAAAAACTTAAGGTCATTCTAGCGTTACTGCATTAATGGCACTGACCTAAACAACTTCTTTTCCGTTACTTTAATATTCAGTCAGTATTTCTAGCAATTAAGCTCAATTCCCTTGGTTTGAAATACTGCTTGACATTCCCTGTTCTTTCTTTAGCGGTCTCAATGTGTCATTTTTCTGATGTTTCTCCTGATGGTGTGGTTTATTTTGTGCATACATTGGGCTAATGATTATTGGAGTAAGAGTTTAAAACTTCTGCAAGTCCTTTATGAGGCAAATAAGAATATGTACAAGTGTCTTTACATCAAAATGTCTTACTGACGGATATGGAATTGTTTCTGAATTCAATATGTGAATTGTTTGAAACAGGCTGCATTGCTAGGTTTAATGAGTTGTAGATGTAATCTATTTTTTCTTAAATTGAGTTTTTCCCCTTCTTTGTGTCCACGTGAACTTTTTAGTTTACATGAACTTTTCTTCACTAAGGTTTGATGCTACACCAGGACTGGGGTTATGCACAATATTAACAATACAGCCTGAAGTGTAGTACATCTGTGCACTAGAGGATTATCTGCCAGTAGCTTCTATGATCTGAACCAAGTGTGAACAATTTTTGGAAGATTAGCTCCAGCAGATGTCATAGGCTGCTTTATAATGGCTATAGGAGGAAGAAGTGGTACACAGTATGTTACAAATTTTGTCAGGATGAAGTCACTACTATGAATTTTTTAACCTATTTTGGCAGTTAGAATGAATACATAGGAGCTGACTTAAAAACCTACAGAGAGAAGAGTTCTGCAGAGGCTTGGCCTCAATCTTGCATTTTGGAGAAATCTAGAAGAGAAAATCCATGTTTAACATAAGATTTGAGAACAGTCTGTTTGATCACGAGTGATGATTGATGGTCATGCACACACTGGGCTCTGCACTACTGCATGTAGTAAAAAATTATTAAATACAATATTAAAAACACAATGCATCCTGCCTACAAAGACCTCACCAAATCCAATGCATTGTGACCTTTAGAGGTAATGATCACTAAATTACGACTCCAACATCACCTTTCTTTTTAGTGTTTTTCAGCTCTAAGCATGTTCTGTTAGGATACCTATGCCAGCATATTACCTGTTCCCAGTTTCATCACATGGAAGCCTCACTATTTCATTCTCCTTTCTTACTTCTGAAATTGCTGCCTCCATATCTTAGCCCTGCCAAGGACAGCAGTCCCAATGGTGAGGACCCCAGGGCAGTGCTCCTGGCTGTGCTCAATTGACTCCACTTCCGACAAGCCCTGCTCAGAGCAATCACAGCTTGAACAAAGTTTACTCTTCCCGTGCTGCCTTTTGCCTGCATATGAACATCTGCACCTGAAGTGCAATACTGCAGTGATTTTCAGGCAGTAAGGTGTGCCCACAGCACTGACAAAGTACCATTCTTACAGGTGCTGTTTATATTTCTTTCTGAGTAAATCAGGCACAGTCAGTTGGAAGAAAAATGTTGCAGATCAAATCACGTCTGTGCAGAAGCTGTGCCAGCATGCATTGGCTGGGGAGGGATCAGACCTTTGCACTTCCAGAGCTACATAGGCAGAACCTTACAACTGTTATTGTATTTCATTGCTCTAAAAGCAGTACTTGCCATTCTTCACCCCAGTGCTTGCTTTTCTTAATTCTGTGCTATACTTTGCTTGAATGTCACATGAAGGTAGGTCTGGTAGTTACAGATTCTCAGGCATTGGCATAGCACAGTTGAGGGCTGACCTTTGTAAAATGAAGAGCATCAAAACTTTGTAATGATTAATTTGCAGAGGAAGTTTCAGAGCCTTCATCAGTCTCTGTTTGCAGAAATGGTATTTTTTGTTTTGTTTTTCTAGTGGTTGGCGACCCTGCTCGTGGCAGAGGGGTTGAAACTAGATGATGTTTGAGGTCCTTTTCAACCCAGGCCATTCTATGATTCTGTGTTGTTTTGTTAATCCCATCGTATTGCTGAAGTATTTACCCAGCTCCCAGTTCAGTGCATTTTAACTGTATGTAAAGCATGCAGAACATCTTTGATAATAGCAATTTGGATGATGCTCCTCAAAATCCGTGCTGAATTTTTACTTCTTGATACAAATAAACCCTAAGCAATAACAAATTACGAAGTTTCTTTCTTTTTCCTTTTCCTTTTTATTTTATTTTCCTTTTTCCGTTTTTAGAAGGTGGGGTGGCAAAGTTTATTTTCTTCAGAAGGCAACGTTTTGTTACGTTTTCTCTCACACCACCTCGTGTACCTCAGCTCACTCCAAAACTGACTCCTGCTTTTGCTCTCTTGAGTTTTTCTTTAAAATGTTATTGCACTGGCTCCTCTATAAATGCTGAAAGGTTTTTGTGTTTGTTTTTTTTTAATAGCAATATTTATAATAACAGTATTTTCAGGACTACAGATAAAATTTTAAAAGATACCTTTATTTAGTACATTAATTATGAAGCTGTATGCAGTGTTGCTCAGCTTTTCACTTGTGTGTAACTGAGATTCTTACAGAGAGAAAACTGGTTTCAGAGTGCTTGGAGAAAAGAGGTGCTCGCACTGTTATTTCCTGAAGAATGACTCATCATTTCTTTTTTGTCCTAGCCACTTTTATTCAGTGGTTGCCACATAAAAATAAATCATCGCCATTATGTCCCACTAAGCTTTTGTCTCCTGAATGTTATTTGTACAGCCTGGTTAGCATTCACAAACTAACAGCAATTTGTTCATTCATACCTGTAGTGCATATGATTTTATGGGTGTATTAATTAACACATTAATTAAGTAACAGCTATAGCGGCGTTTCTGAGCATGAAAATTGGCTCTGTCACCCTGTACTGAATATTTCAGTTGTGTTTCGTGCCTTTCAGAGTAACGATATGAACATGACAGCACTGTCACAGGGAGCAGGGAACCTGGGTGGAATCTCGTGCTGCAGCACAAATCATTAAGTGAAATGATGCATGTGTGACAAATTAAAAAAATCCTTGGTTCAGCCAAGGATTCAAATCTACAGATCAAAGCTCACATTTCTGCAGAATCTATGGGACTAGAACTATCTTACAGACTTTCTTGCCATTTGGGGAGTTTAATCGCACAAGTTACTGAGGCTGAGTCAGGTTCCAAACGTATGTATGTGTGTACACTTAGATTCAGAACAAGAGCCCACAGATATCACTTCTGTTGTCTGAGGAGAGCTGCAGGTATGCTTTTAACAACAGTGGAGCATTCTGTGCAGTTGTACAGTCTAAGAGCTGCCCTCATTCTGAGGCAGATGTTAATGAGGTTGCAGCTCTGCTTTTTCTTATTTGTAAACGCTGGGTGCCATGCAAGGCTGGAGGTTTTTGCTTGTTACTTACTGCTTATTTTTTAGGAACCTACTTTTGTCTGCGTAGTTACAAACGAAGTTGGAAATCAGCTGAGAAAATCATTACATCTTTTCCTCCTTGGAAATTCTGCTAAGTGCTTTTGTGACTTTTTTGTACCAGTCCTGCAGCAAAGAGGAAGCAGCCAAAAAAAAAAAAAAAACCAAACCAAAAGATTTCCCATTTCAGTTCACCTTTTTAAGCTCTAATGAAAGGTTTGATTATTAAGCTTGATTGCTTTTTTTTCTCATAAGATTAATCCATTTACATCAATAAGATTACCCACGTGAGTACCCTGTTGCAGAACTTGCCTCTAGTACTGAGATTGCCTAGGGGGAAGTACAAGGAAGTTGCAATTAAAGTTACAGAAGGAAAAGGAGGTCTGACCTTTTCTTTTCTTTC